GATACAAACAAAAATTTTGTTTCAAAGTATGTGGCATAGTGTTGAACTTTTGTATCTTTGTTGTTATAGAACGACAGCGGAAAGATTGATCAGGATTTCAAAGCACTGCCTGTGTTCTTTATCAGAAAACATGATAAGAATATATCAGCGTACCTGATTCTTAATCTTTAATTCCTTATGAATCACAAATAACATTCACGGTATATGCTTTAAAATTCCCATTTCATCTATTTGTTTACATGAATTCTCGTCACGTTTAATTTCACTCGGCAAATATTTGATCAATAGTTATGACGTCATGGGTTTGGTATTTAACCCCTGTACTAAATACTTAGATATTTTTACCACCCCAAAACGATAAGATTTAGTTTATATTATGTAATGAATGATTCCATTCATTTCTTTGACCTGAAATTAAACTTTAAATATAGATATTAAGAAATCATTATTTCTAAAGTTCACGTCATACAGCTTACTATGACGTCATAATGTAAAGGCAAGTAGGATATCTCTGGGTGTAGCCTTAACATAACCGTGTAGATAGCTATATTTTCGCGACAAATACATTTTAGCGAGAGAGCTAATTGGAAATTATAAGCCAAGCAAAATTTTAGCGAGCTGTGGTTTCTGTCCATTATAATCCTTAACAATACAATTTAAGACAGACTCGCGTAATTAGGTGAAAAAAAGTTCACACGAATAAAAAGTTATTTACATTACGTATGCATGCAAAATAACTATGTATACATAAAAAAAAAAATATACATATACAAGTTTCAAATCTTTTAGAGAATCTGAATTTAATGTTGGTAAAATGCTAGGTTCACTGTCAAAATCAAAATAACGCAGAGACTTAGTACTTTCATTTCCTATTAAAAAGTTTCCTCTGAAAGTCCAGGTAATTGGAAAACTCGCTTTGAGAAATTGATGTTGGATTTTAAAGAAAACAGTTTTTTTTTTCTTTTGAGTACTTTCAACTAAGAATAAAAATATAAGCGTAATCTCCGATCCATAAAATAAGGCGTTTTGTAATCCTCAGAAACAGTTTTATCATTAAACAATTGCATAGTTTAGATCCGAGGATGCGCTCTATTCAAAATATTGAAAATAGCTTTAAAAAACTGGCCGATTTGTAGAATTTTTCAGGATATGTTTCTGTAGATTCACATGGGAAGAAAATTAAAAAAGACCAATATTGATTTCAGAGATATGTACACACTGTGATGAAATATGTGGAGATAACGAACAGTATTCAAGCTCAAAAGTCCATTAATCAATACAAAATAGGAGCAGAGCAAACACGGACCTCCAAACATCAGAGGTGGGATCAGGTGCCATGGAGGAGTGAGCATCCCCTGCCGACCGGTCACACCCGCCGTGTGCTCCTTGTCATGATCGGGAAATAACGGAAAAATCCGTCGACAATTCAGTGTGTAAATAATGGCCTAACAATTAGTGTGAAAAACGTCAGTCAGCATTTGATTCAATGATTAATTGTGTTTGCTGACAAGGTCATTGTATCGACCATAGAACTTACGAAATGATTACTTTAAACGAGACAGCTGATATTCTTGTTTCATCAACTTATTTGTCAATAATTTACCTCGTTTTAGAAATTGTACATACGTAGAGCATGCTCTTGCGTATCGAATCAACTGAGAGATATATACCCCGTATGCAGGTGTTAAAGGTATATTGCTGCATAAGTAAGGGAAGTTGACGATTGAAAAGTTAAAGTCATCACGTTTATCATAAAGCTTCGTTGTTAGTTTACCATTAACGTCTTTTTCAAGTAAAATATCCAAATATGAAACAGATGTGTCAGACTCTGTGGTATCTTTTATCTCAAGTTCACAAGGATATATCGTATCGACATAAGAATGGAAATAGCCATTGTTTATTGACAATACGTCGTCGATACATATAAATGTCGAGTTGAAGGCCACAGCAAGTGTTTTCCTCTTTTCACGTACAAGATTTTGGACAAATTCTGCTTCATATGAATACAAAAAAGGTCTGCTAATAACGGGGCGCAATTGGTACCCATGAGAATTCCAATAGATTGTTGGAAGACCTGGTCTCCAAAAACCACATAGATATTGTCAATCAGAAACTCAAGCATCTTTTAAAGGTCAACTTCAGAGTACTTGTGTGTACAATCAGAATGTTTTTTAACAAAATAATTTTGCAAATGACCAATGACAAGGTAAGTATATTTACGAGTTCCATTTTTATTGAAAAAGTAGCTGTCAATGATCTCAAAAAGCCTGGACTTTAATTTGTCGTGGGGAATGGTTGTGTATAAAGTTGAAAAGTCGTAAGTTTTTAAGCTGTTGATTTTGGTAAAATCTTGTGATTTCAAATTTTCCAAAAGTTCTTTGGAATTTTTAAGTATCCACATCTGATTTACACCACTTCTCGAATATGTTGTTGCACAGTACTCTTGAAGTTTCTCCTTCACCACTGTTAATATAACAGATAAATCAGAAACTTTCACTTCAAGTAACTTTCATTTCCCCACTATAAAGCACTTATATTTAACGTTAGCTCGAAAAGAAATTTTAATTATTAAATTTTTATAAAATAATTGATTCTGATTGGATGAAAGATTCTTTTGATAACTGCATCAATAGAATCTGAAGTTCGCTTACACTAAGCAACCGGAACTACTTTCGCTGACTTTACATATTTCCCCTTCCAGAGTACTTTGTGAAAAAAGAATATGAAATTTATTTTAACTATATTTTTATGAATTTCAAAACTTTTCCGTTCCGTTCCTGAGTTTTTTCTACTTTCATTTTTTTTTTTAAATATGGCTGAAATATTGCCGACTCAGCGTAAAACAATAATAATCTTTTCGATTGATTGATTGATTGTATATTGTTTTACGTCCCATTCGAGAATTTTTCACTCATATAGAGACGTCACCATATACCGGTGAAGGGCTTCAAATTTTGACCTTAACTCGGCACTCAGGGCCATTGAGCAGTGAGGATATTTATCGTGCCAACGTCTGCTGTGACAGGGGGCCTCGGTTTTTAAGGTCTCATCCGAAGGACCCGCAACTTTCACTTCAAAGTGCCGAGCGCATGGCGAAGGAACAGTTGATACCAATTTTTATCGACTTAGGTCAGTCGCGGCCGAGATTCGAACTCACGACCTCCTGATCACGGAGCGAGCGCTCTACCGACTGAGCTACCGTGAACGGTGTTACGGGAAAGATTGATTGATTGTATGTTGTTTAACGCCCCTCTTGAGAATTTTTCACTCATATGGAGACGCCACCACTTGCCGGTGGAGAGCTGCAAATTTTGTCCTATACTCGGCTCTTATGGCCATTGAGCAGTGAGGGGTCTTTTTCGTGCCATCACCTACTGCGACACGGGACCTCGGTTTATACGGTCTCATCCGAAGGACCGGTCTCCACGTCCCACAGTAGGATTCGAACCCGCGACATAAGGATCAACTCCTTACTTCGCAACTCTAGAGCAGACGCTCTAACCACTGCGCCACGCAGGCGACTGTTACGGGAAAGAAAGAAAAATGTTAAATGTTTGTCATTGAGGTAACTAGTATGAACAATAGAACGAACTATGAAGAAATGTTTTTATGCTACCAAAGCGGGAAAATGTCGTTTATCTGTTAATTCTTAAGAAACGAATGCATGAGAAAAACGTCACTCAGTGAGGACGGAATATTCTTTAAATGTTAAACAGTCGGCAAAAGACTCATCCAGAATTTACAACCAGGTGTTTTGCATAGACAGATTGTGATACATATGTTCGGATTGAAATTCAGGTCTCGAGATGCGCAAATGAAATCCAAAATTTCGGTGAACTAAAAATAGTTGTCGATTATATTTGAGTAGCTTCCCTTTACATTTACGAACATAAGATATCAGCTTACCGGGGAAAATTCGAAGTACTTACATACCTATAGGGATATAGCAAATATTAATAAAACAACCGGTAAGTTTTTTTTCTTTTGTGCGTTATTGGTAATGACACGACAACTTGAAAACGTTGTTTGTTCGTTATGCATTACTCCGCGTCAGAAAATGTAGTCATATATTTTCAAACTAAGCTATATGGTAGGCAATCATTTGCTTTCATATTAAATCTCATCCTTGAAATATAAATATTTTTTATAAAAAATAAATCTTATAATTTTTTCTTTAATCGATTATCAATGAGACTTGGACCGATTTTTTTTTTCATCAATGCGATAAGCAAATTGATAAAGTTTTTCCAATCAAATCTCTTTGATACGTCGATCAAAGAAAAAAATATAAGATCCATTTCTTAAATAAATGTTTGAAAGAAACATTTTGCCTACAATGACAAATAATTGAATTTTCAATCTTGCTTTTTTTCTGAATGGCCTTCCGTTTTAAAAAAGCTTAAATTTAAAACAGCATTTGGTTTGAAGTGATGATATACCAAACAATAAATATATACTTCACAAAAATCAATCTGATATCTCTGGAATAGTGAAGTAATTGTCAACAGTGTATCAAAAATGAATTACATATTACAGATACACTAGAAATACATTCTTCACATAAGGTCTATTTCAATAAATATGGAAACAATTACTTAACAATAAGTATGATACATATTATTCAGAACTCCTGCAATATATTTGATTTGAATACAAGGGCATACTTTTCATGATAAAATTTACAAATAAGTTTACAAAACATGAAACTTTCTTTGTAATGTACATCACATAGAAATACAAACATTACATTTTCAAAAACTAAAACGCCAAATTTATGACAAAATGTCGAAAAAGATTGTATTCTGTAAGTTTAGAACTTTTACCCCTTAAAAACATAGATTGGTGCGTAAAGTAAATCACATGCTTATTTGTTAAGAACAAAAATGTGAAGTGAAAACCGGAAGTTGCAGTCGGTATATAGAAATAAAACCAGATGCGTAAAACTTGCGGGATTTACCTTAAAGTCATTAAAACATGTCAGGAATACTAAGACATTGGCTTTAGTGTCTGATCATTATAACAGTCTTTTGTAGAGCTTCAAATGTGTCTTTCCAGGCTTTCCATACCAGGTATTTTGGACCAATGACAGCAGACTGGGCGTACTCTCCGTTTAGGTTTGCGGGAAGACACCTGTTGTACCACCAGGCTCCCCGATACGATATAGCACAGTTTTCACTACTTGTCTTGTCATTGTCCTGATCTTTAGTGGTGAATTCCATACCATTGTGGCCAGTCAAACTGTCACCTAGAACAAAATATTAGTAACATCAGTTTAATGCTTTTTGAAACAATTAATGATTGTGACACAGTTCTGAACACTGAAGTTGTCATTATTCTGGGCTTTCGTGGTACATGTAAATGTAATACTTTTGTAATGAATCACTCACTCTCTCACTCATGTAATGGGATATTGATAACATTTATTTTGGTACTCAGCAAAAAATAACTTATGTACTTTAAAAAATAACAGTTTTAAGTTGGGTTAAATTTTCGTGTTTTCATGAAAATAAATATTAATTCGTCTTATTCGATATCGTCTTGAAGAAACATGATACTATAGATTTATGGACTACAGTGTAGGTCGATATGTGGTTATAAAGGCCCATGTCAAGTTATATTGACCGAAGACAGATAGCGACCGAGCTTGCAAGGTCGCTATTATTTTCTGTGTCTGAGGTCAATATCACTTGACATGGGTCCTTATAACCACATATTGACCGTTCACTGAAGTCCATAATTGTTATAATCTATAATCACTCAACGTTATTAATGAGACACAGTCCAAACTGTACAGACTTGGTGTCATTACATCATAAAGGTAAAAACATGCTTCTTATATTATGACTTCACGTTCTACGTAACTTTGGTGCAGCCGAACGGTGAGTCGTGCGATATCATGTGCCGCGGATGCGCTTTCGCATCAATCTCACAAAAAGACAAATATTACGTTACGTTCTTTCAGCCAATGAAAACAACGAAATAATCTCATATAATATTCTAGTTTGACGACTTAACATTTTGTGAAGTACATGAATTCGTGGATCTCTTCAAACGATGAAAAACACGAAAGTTAACCTCTATGAGAGTTAGTGATTTCAAAGTATATGAAATATACAAGTATGTAGAAGGTCCAATCCGTCCTTTTATTCGTATAAGCAATTAAATTTAAAATACTTGCAGGGTTTTTCAAGTAATTATATTTTAAAGAATCTTAGACTGACTGTAAAATTCATTAAATGTATTGTCTTTGTCATTAAACACAACCATGCAACGTATGTGCTAAGAATAACTGGAGTTCAATGCCGTTTTTGAAACAAGAATGTGAGATTTTTTTTACAAGGTATGTGTTAAAAATTCCGTACAAAATAGGAATTCGAGAACACGTCGGTCCTCTTAATAAACAGCGTATAATCGTTATGTTTTGTTTGGATCTTCGAATACGCCCATAAAAATTTTGAACGTCCTATCATAGTCACCTAATTACATGATTACTTTAAATTACAGGAAAATAAATTCAGCGGATAATTCATGAACCAGTGGACTTGTGAATTATGTTTACAGAAAGACTTCAGTAGCCTTTAAGAGTTTTGAACACAAAAATATGTTATGAACAGTCAGAAAAGTGATTGACAGTGAAAGCTGTGTTGCCTTTATAATACATACCTTTTGAGAGTGTTTCCCACATACATATTAACGAAAAAATGTTTTAACATTTTCAAGGTTTATACTGAGCGGTCTACAATATAATTTGGTCGCCCGCGTGGCGCAGTGGTTAGAGCGTCTGCTCTAGAGTCGCGGAGTAAGGAATTGATCCTTACGTCACGGGTTCGAATCCCACTGTGGGACGTGAAGACTGGTCCTCCGGATGAGACCGTATAAACAGAGGTCCCGTGTCGCAGTAGGTGATGGCACGAAAAAGTCCCTCACTGCTCATCGGCCGTAAGTGCCGAGTATAGGACAAAATTTGCAGCTCTCCACCGGCAAGTGGTGGCGTCTCCATATGAGTGAAAAATTCTCGAGAGGGACGTTAAACAACATACAAACAAACAAAAAACAAAATAATTTGTTGGACCAGTTGGTAAGACCACTTTTACGTTTCTTTTACGTCACAAACAATTTGAGGGAATTGACCAAGATAAATGTACATTTAGGGTAAATGAAAGTAACATCAAAAGTTTGTCATCTGTATCGCAAACATTGAAGCCAGCGCAATATTTGATTGGAAAGTAATTTTCAGTGTGTAAGAAAACATTCATTGACTTGATTTTTTGAAGAATGTTTAGCCGAACTCTTGAAGCAAACTGATATAAATTATGCCTTTTTTGACGAATTGTCTTTTTAGAAAAAATACTCAGAAAACATGCCAAAAAAATATTCGCACGTTCGTATTGCCGAAAAATTTTGATAAAGTATCCACTCTCTCTGTGATTCAGACCATTTTAACGTGTAGTATCTGTTATAAATATCCTTTAATACTATACTAGGTATAAAGAATAATATGGGATATTATTTTCGTAATAAATTATTTTCATAACATTACTGACCTGTCACGGTAGCCTAGTGGTAGGGCGTTCGCTTCGTGATCAGGAGCCGCGTCAAAGCTAAGACGTAAACATAGGTAGTGACCGGTCCTTTGCCAAGCGCCCGGTAATAGATGTGAAAATCATGGGTCTTTCGGATGAGACTTTAAAAACCGAAGTCCTGTGTCACGGTAGGCGTTGGCACGATAAAGAACCCTCACTGCTCAATAACCCTGAGTGCCGAGTATTGGTCTAAATTTAAATCCCTTCACCGACAAACGGTGACGTCTCTATATGAGTGAAAAATTCTCGAATGGGACGTGAAACAACATATAATCAATCAATCAATAATAACATTACTCACCCGCTGTTCCGTTGTATCCAGATACCGTGATTGTATATTTATTGTGTTCATCTCCGATGTAAAATGTGTTATACACAGCATAGGCCTGTTCTCCGTTATGTCTCTGGAGATCAATTCGGAGTTCTTGGTTTTTATCCTTTGTTAAGGCGTGGATTGCGTCATTACCTTGGTAAAAGGTGTTATTTGTATATTAGATGATTGACGACCTTAAAGACTTTTTTTTAATTCTTTGTCGAATTCTATTTGTGCTTCAGCTTTCATCACACGAAAATTTACAGTCTATTCATACTATAACATAAATCTGCAAGTTCTGCTCGGACAATGTCTAGAAATTATCAAATTATCTAGAGATTCTCATTACAAAATCCTGGAAATAACACTTTTTAAAATAGCCAAGCTTATTCATACTTTACAAATCTGTTAACAAAATGAAAGATAGACAAACACGTGTGTAAACATAGCCTCCCTCAATCAGCGTAATCTTTTTTTTTTTTTTTTTTTTTTTGGTTGGTTTTTTTTTTTAAATTTTTTGTTTTGTTTCGTTTTGACAATTTTACTGAAATGTCAATTTTTTAGAGTAATGAAATAAAACGAACAGTATTCAATCTCAAAGTCAACGAAAATATCCAATCTCAAAGTCCACTAGAATATACAAATCGGGAGCAGAGCAAACACGGACCTCCAAAAACATCAGAGGTGGGATCAGGTGCCATAGAGGTGTGAGCATCCCCTGCCGACCGGCCACATCCGCAGTGTGCTGCTTGTCATGATCGGGAAATAATGAAAAAATCTGTAGACAATTCAGTGTATAATAGTGGCCTAACAATTCATATGAAAAGTGTCAGTCAGCATACGATTAACTGATAAATTGTATTCGCTGACAAGGTCATTGTAGCGACCATAGAACTTGCGAGATGATAACTTTAAACGAGACTGTTGAAATTCTTGTTTATTCAATTTGTTTGTCAATAACTCACCTCGTTTTAGGAATTGTTCTTACGTAAAGCATGCTCTTGCGTAACGAATCAACTGAGAGATATACACCCCAAATGTCGGTGATAAGGGTATATTGCTGCATAAGTAAGGGAAGTTGACGATTGAAAAGTTAAAGTCATCACGTTTATCATAAAGTTCTCTTGTTAGATTACCATTAACGCCTTTTTTCTACTAATATATCCAAATATGAAACAGATGTGTCAGACTATGTGGTATCTTTTATTTCAAGCTCACTGGGATATATTGAGTCGACATATGAATGGAAATAACTATTGTTAATTGATAATACGCCGTCAGTATATCTAAATGTCGAGTTGAAGGCCACAGCAAGAGATTTCTTTTTCTCATGTATTAGATTTTGAAAAAATTCTGCTTCATATGAATACAAAAATAGGACTTCTCACAAAGGGGCGCAATTGGTACCCATGGGTATCCAAAAGATTGTCAGAAACTCAAGCACCCTTCTAATATCAACATCGGGGTACTTTTGTGTACAATCAGAATGTTGTTTAACAAAATAATTTTGCAAATGACCAATGACAAGGTAAGTAAATTTACGAGTTCCATTTTTATTGAAAAAGCAGTCAATGATGTCAAAAAGCCTGGACTGTAATTTATCGTGGGGAATGGTACTATACACAGTTAAAAAGTCGTAAGTTTTTATGTTATTGATTTTGGTAAAATTTTGTGATTCAAAATGTTTCCCAAAAAAAAGTCAAATAAAGAGATTTTGAACTGTCCTGTACTTTTATGCGAAAATAATAAGATATAGAAAATATATAGGAAGAAATAATGTAAAACAAAACAGGAACTTAATTTTTTTTTATGTAAAATATAGATCTCGTCCTACAAAAGGGACAGATTGCCTCGAAACTTTGACTGGATTAAGTGTTTTTGAGTGTTTTAAGAAATAGAGCACGTGTTCCAAAGTAAACTAAAGTAGGAAATGCTTCAAAGCTCTCATTCTATCTACGCCAACTGAAATACTCTGGAGTGATCGACAGGTTTGGTCTACAGGTCTTTAATCAAATAGAATCCATCACCATACACCCAAATAGACTCCTACCAGAAAACCTTGAAAATTACCCAATGAGAAAGCCTATCTGATGGACGCAGTTTTGTTTAAAACGTTCTAAGGAAGTGCACAGCCTGTCTCATTTACTTCAATGCTTTCTTCTTTAATTTTTGATAAATTTTTGAGAAAAATTCTATATGAATTTGCTTATTCAAATCAGTTTGTAATAATAACAGACTTGTATCCTCATTTTAGAAACCATGCATGAAAATATTTTTAAAGTTAGACAATATGTTGCCTCATTTTTGATCTATTATAACCCTTACCCTGACTTTTGAGCTTGACAACTGTTCGTTATCTTCATATCATAGTTGAGAATAAATGTTTTACTTTATGTAAATCCATTTAAAGAGGCACTTATCTTTAATTATTTTTATTACATTTAAATCAATTAAATTTCTTACATAGTAATTAATGTACATATTGTTCGAGATTATATGTTACTCAAAGCTTTATATTCTTTTTTTTTCTTTTTTTTTCCCATACTTTCAACCCTTGAGGTCGCCAATCAATACATAACTATCTATTAAGGAGAATACAAAATAGAAATTATAATTAATTAATGATTGATTTCACCTTTCTCTTGCCCTTTTGAAGGAAAAAGAAGTCTATATTTCACCATTTATTCCGAGTAAACTTTAAATAAAACACACCACAGAGTCCGCCAAATCTTTTGTTTAATTTGCGTGCTTTAATAAATTAATTAATAAAATAACTTTAATGACAAAGAGACAAATTTACTAAATGACAAGTTTAATAACCTAGACTTAAACTTGATATTTTTCTAAAATAATCTTCTCATATTTATGCAGTAATATTCCATTTTCATCTGTCCCCCCAACTGATTCAAAATGCAAGAGCATATTCTGCTTGCTATTAATTTCCAAACCGAGGCAGGCTAATGATAAGTAAGTTGAATTTACAGAAGTTACGACAATCTACCATTATTTTAAAGCAAGAATGTCATGGTAGTCATCATTACCTTCACTGCAAATTCATGCATCCTATCGATGGGTCAAATCCTGGCATTTTTCGTACCAATTGTTAGGCAATGTCTTTTAGGAGATTGGGAAGGCTATGTTACTTTGATGGCTTTTTGTCCATCCCTGTATTTATTCTACTTTTGACGAGAAAATTCAAAGTAATCATGTTATATAAAAGATATACACAGATATACCTATCCAATAGTTTTTAGAGGCATTTCCAAATCCCTGTTTGTACTCTGTCCATGTCCTATAAAAATCCACGTCGCCGTCTTCTCTTTTTTGTATAACCTGCATATAATATATATATATATATATATATATATATATATATATATATATATATATATATATATATATATATATATATATATATATATATATATATCAAAAAAAATCACAACACCGAAATAAACTCTACCGGTTTCATTTTCATTCTTCAGGAGTTTGACAACATAACAATATGTTGTCAAACTCCTGAAGATTGAAAATGAAACCGGTAGAGTTTATTTCGGTGTTGTGATTTTTTTTGATATACGACTACGTGTGTGGATTTATATTATATATTTCTGGTATATATATATATATATATATATATATATATATATATATATATATATATATATATATATATATATATATATATATATATATATATATATATATATATATATATACAAGTATATATAATGTTGACAATGTGAACGTCCAAACTAAGATTATCAGATTTTTTAGACTGGAATATATGCCATTAGAAACCATTTGATTATATAATGGGTTGGAAATTAAGCCTGGGTCTTCTTATTCTCAATGTTGCAATGTTGCAGAGATACAAGTTCCAGAAACATATAATAAGCTTCTTTATAAGATGTCTGCATGAAAACGTCAAATTGTTAATTTTACTTAAAGAGCTTCACCCTTTAAATTTTAAAACTCGCAGTGGTTAGAGCGTCTGCTCTAGAGTCGCGGAGTAAGGAGTTGATCCTTATTTCGCGGGTTCGAATCCCACTGTGAGACGTGGAACTGGTCCTTCGGATGAGACAGTATAAACCGAGGTCCCGTGTCGCAGTAGGTGCTGGCACAAAAAAGATCCCTCACTGCTCAATGGCCGTAAAAGCCGAGTATAGGACGAAATTTGCAGCTCTCCACCGGCAAGTGGTGGTGTCTCCCTATGAGTGAAAAATTCTCGAGAGGGACGTTAAACAACATACAAACAACCAAACAAACAAATAAATTTTAAAACTCCATCGTTGTCTTGTTTAGCTGTTTTCTAGCAAGCTGTCTTCCGTAACCCGTAAATAAAAGTTTATTTCTTAAAGTTTGATAATTTTGTGTCCATGATTGACAGAAATCTGCAACTGACTAAGATTTTCTACTGGAAACTTCTATTAAAGTGCTCGATTCCAAATTTAAAAAAAAACACTACTCACCGTCCATCCTCCTCCATCTGTCGTCATGTCACAGAAAACCTCTCTCTTCGTGTCAGCGTAAATAACATACACTCTATCTTGTCCTTTCTTGCTGGGTTCTCTTTTCAAAATCTCTGAACAATCCTTGTATATTTTTTCTATTTAATATTTAAAATTATTAGTTATTCCACTTAACCTGCTTTTTGAGCATAGTACTCTTTGTTTACTTAAAAAGCGGGCTTCATATTTTAGCGGCTTTGGCGCAGACAACGATGCGCATATTCATGAATACCGCTAAGAAATCATTTATGAAAACAATATACGGCACGGACATGTGTAGTGCTAGTTCTTGATTACGCCAACAACTCCATATCCAGTGATTGAGCTAAATTTGAATGCCCCAATTTAATATGTACAAGTACTGTATATTGTTTGAATTTTACAATACATGTGGATAGGCGTTTTGTAAATGTCTGTGTACAAACAAACATAAACTCAAGTTTTTTTATCATTATTATTATTAATTACATAATTTCCGAATAATATATTTGCAGTAAACATTTTTTATGCAAGCCGATTAAAAACAAAAGAAGTTTGTAAAACAGGGAAAGGATCAAATTCAAATGTATATTTCAGCGAAAGTTAAATTACTTCTCCACAATTTTAAAGTCAACATTTTCATAAATGTATATAGAATCATTTGTTACCTTTTAAGGATATGTGAACCTGACGATTTTGAACCTACCGCGCAACTCGAACTGCTGAAGATCAGGTCAATGTCGTGATCATACGTAGAGCGTTTGGTTTTGCTATTAAACTATTCTAAAGGATCGTAAACATCGAATTCCTTGTGAAATAAAGTCAAATTAAATTAATATTGCATGTTTTTCATAAATTTTTGCTTTTTGCTTGTTCTTCCGACCTCGGAGCATTTACGACATACCCTTGCCGTTTTGCGACACCATGTCGGTAGAGAGGGACGCAACGATACACACAGTATATATTCCAGTAAAGGGTTATATTTAGGCAAGAAATATAGAGATTGATGCTGTTAGGTTTCGTGCAACAACTTCCCAAGCGATGTCACCTTTGAATACAGTATCATGATGCACTACATGGTTTCAGGTTAGTAAAAATAAACAGCAGAATAAACATGCACCAAACACTGAAACAGAATGATAACTTCACACCTTATATACGTATTTGGTTGTAATTAATATCATTATAGCACCATCGACATTCATTTTCTTACTAACCGGGATTTACATCATTCACGTCAGTTTAAACTTTTTAATTTAAGCTTTAATTTAAAATTGCAGAAAATCTGCCAAATTTTCCTATACAGTTACATATATATAGATATCTCGCTCATAAATTCAAAAAGATGGGAAAAATAAACATCTAGCATGTCATCAGTGACCTCTGAGTATGATATTTGGTGCCAAATATTTTGTATCTGTGTTTTTCAGACTTGAAAATATACAAGTTGCATAAAATATTTACCTCTCGGGGTTGCTTTAAAGTCTTTTAATTCTTAGTGGGGTCAAAATTTTCCTTCATTTATTAATATGGAATTATATTATAGTCTGAAGTGATATTTCTAAGATAAACATTGTAATTGCTTTTTGTTTACTAGAGTCAAACTATCAAATTACACTTCACTAGCCAAGTGACAAACTTAATGATAATAAACAATTCAGTATGATGTATGTCTGTGCAATACAAGATATGACTTATTAAAAAATGATGGGTTATGTACTTAGCCTAAGAAATGAAGTAATGTGGGGAAAAAAGACTTGATCAAAAAGTGTTCATAATTTTTTTAAGACAACAAATTGACCAATTTTATTCTTATTTCAAAAGAACAGGACTCCTTTTCTCGAGTGAGCTTGAACACTGTGGTGACTTTACACATTCATTCATTAGTCTTTGTTGTTGGTTATGGATGCTTATATGCTGCATAATTCTTTCATACATGTGATAGGTCAAAGACCACAAAACTGTAGAGGAGCCATAAAAAAACTGGAATTTGGGTGAAAAAACTGTACACTAGCTGCCTATCAAAAAACGGTACATAAAACGGTATAAAATATCGCTTAAATTCTTCTGATAAGGCATATTTCTAAACCAACAAATATATATTGTTGCAAATGTCTTATTTTAAAAGTTGTAATGGAGATCTGAATGCTTTAAAATTTCATATTTTGTGTTTTATAATCACAATGTTCTTATGAATCTATTATAAATTAAGCTTGTTTAGATGCATGGTAGTTTGTTTGCCAGCTTTATATAGTATTAACGTGAGAGTCAATGTCTCCAATTTACATTTTGTTCATATTACTGATATATACATCAGCAATGCTAAATAACAGCAGCAAATACAATCATACATGAATTTCAGCACATAAAAAACTAAAACTATATCCTTTATTTCAGCGTAATCATGGTAATAAACATCGTATATTTTATACCTACGAAGATCTGGGTCAGATTCATGTATATTAGGTCATGTATATCAATTTTAGAAGTTGGCTTAATTTTTTTCAATCAAGTTACGAAACATTAACAGTTATACATGTTATAATTAAGTACCTCTTTAAAAATAAAGCTACCTAAAGGGGTATCTTGATACGGATTTATAGCAAGATAATTATCCCAATTGGCAATTGACACCTTCACACGCGATGGTTTGTGTTCACTACACAATTATCGGAAGGTCAAGTGTCAAACAGGTGACGTTTTCCTGTGTCTCGCGAGCGAGAATGAGAGGAAAATGGCAGCATTTAGCGAGAAATTCAAAATACTGTACAAATTTTCATATTCCGTGAATTTTGGTGTCCCGCCTGTACACGATGAATGGGCTCGAAAAACTGTACATTTTGCGTACCGCCAGTACATATCATATGTATGTTCTTTTAGAATTTTGGAATTGTATGAAAATTTTAATAAATAATAATTAGCACTTTTTATTATTATATCAATTTCAGATAAAGGAAGGAAGATGTTTTAGAGAGAGATATTTCCCAAAACAATGTGAGATTACAGATTATGGAAGATTGCTGGGCATTATGACAAACAAAGGTCTGATTAAACATTAAATATCCTTTTGCCATTCAATCATTTGCAAACAATTTAACTTCAAGACCTATATGGCTTTGGATCTCTACTAAAATAAACTTTAGCAAATGAATAATTATACTGCTTTAAATGATGTAACTGTTCTATGAAATTATTTACTTACTACCGGTAATAACTAATTGACATTGATTGTACATATTCAAAGAATATCTATAAAATTTACTTGTAAATTGAATATATTTGTGACTGATTTGTTATTTGTATAGGTATCAAGGAGGAATATGAACAATGTAGGTCAGCAGTCAAAATCTCTCACCTTATTCAACTCTTAACAGCATGTTCCTATGGATCCAGATGCATTAAAAGATTTCTATTGTGTTGCAACCAATGGAATAGGTAGGAATGAATTAATTTTATTAAAATAAAAAAAAAGTGGGTTCACTATGCATTCAATTCTGGTGGTGGTGGTGATGGGGGGGGGGGGGGGGGGTTAATATATTTTGTAGCCTTCAATAAGGACAAAATATTTATTTCCCAGCTCACCAAAGACAAATTATGACAGCAAGATTATTATTTTATTTTCACTGGAATAAATAAGACAAAAGAAAAAAAATATTCACAATGGAGAAGAATTTTTTATTTTATTAACATCTAGGTCAGATTATTTCCAAAATCTGCCCTCAAAATCAAAAGGTCCTCCTTTAACTTGCTAGCATGATAATAGAATTTTTAAAAATATAACTTTTTGAAGCCTCATTAGACTAGTAGTCATACTTCATAAATAACTGGAAAGGTGTCAAATTATCCACGGGTATGTGCTTTATCAATAACACGTCTTCCAGTTTCGACACAATCCCTAGGCCTCGCTTCAAGATGTAAACTTATCGAAACTTCTAATTGTGAAATGTGTTCTGTGTTATCAAGTGAATGCTAATGAGCAAAAATGTTTATTAAATATGAGAAAAAAACTAATTACACTTCAATGAAATGTCAAAATTTATCAATGTACTGGCTACAGCGATAAAGGATGTTACACCCCCCCCCCCACACACACACACACCCACACCCACACACAATTGCTCTCATAGGAAATGTTAGATCTAGCAGTTAAGTTGTAGTTGGAATATATTGGCAAGCCTCGCGAATATACACCATTCAACTCATTGGATAAAGGAAATATCAAATCACACAATATAGATATCCTCTATATATCCATGTCCACTTATCATTTGAAGGTTAACACTAAAATGGATTTTATTTTCCAGGCTAAGAATCACACTGTTTTGCCTCTGTCACCAAAGACTGAAATGTTTACTTCAAAAGACCTTCACCTGCAGTTATTAATATTTCAACAAAGTTCGTGGCCCAAAAAAAGCTTGCAGTTGAAAAGGAAAGGAAAGATAAAAAAGATTCACTATGTCATAGAAGCTAGCTTTACTAGAACTGTGTAGAAACTTTTGTCAAGGTTAAAGAAATCATTTTGTATAAACAGAACTAACAGTTATTGCTCGAACTTTTTAACAGGGATAATTTAAACTGGTGATTGTTATCTTTATATGTTGTACATTTTGATACTATTTCCAATTAGATTATGCAAAAATATGTCATTTGTATCAGATAATGCTTATAAGTGTTAATGTGAGTTTAAACAGAGGAAATTCGGACTGCAATTTTTGGGGAATTAGATTATGAAAATACACTACTTTTATATAGGATTTAGATCCTTTTGTCCTATATTCTAATACATTGTACATTCAATGGTTAAAAGTTCCTTGTATAGATATTTAATGGGAATTTATTGTTCATTTTTTCTGCCATCATTCAGAATAAAAAAATTAATGTTTAAAGGAAAATAGGAAATCGGGGTGATAATTATCTTAATTATTAAAGACCGATTCATAATTTTCTTTATATGCATGATTTTTAGTTTTATTTCAAGATAGTAATATATTTAAAATCAAATAAAATAATTTTTTTGTTTGATTTTTTATACATCACCACAGATAAATGTGCTTTAGGAATCAGTTTTTAAAAAAAGTTAGAGAAAATTCAGGTTACCATATCTTTTTTTCCGATTCATGTACATACCAATTTTTTTCCTCTGTTACATAGCTATATATCACTTCTTTTAAATGAAGTTGAAAAATAAAATATTCAATTATACCAAGTGTGATTTTATAACCTTTTTTGTAGTCAAGGGCAAGGAAATATAGTCAAATTTAAAGAGGGCAGAGGAAATTCAGACTGTGATAGTGAGCTATATAAATATGATAGCTATGAAAAAAAAAAGCTTAGATCACTAAAGTTGTCCACAGACCTTTTAAATATTTGTAAAAATCTACTTCTGCTTATATTTTGTTTCCATTTTATAGCCTTTTTTTACAGATAATCGTGTATCAGAAGTAATTTTTTAAAAGTGATCAGAGAAAATTTGGATTACCATATCTTTTTTCTGACTCATGTACATACCAATTTTTCCCCTTTATTACTTAGTTCTATAACACTACTTTAAAATGGAATTTAGAAATTAAGTTTTTAATTATAGCCAATGTGATTTTATATCCTTTTTTATAGTCAAGGTCAAGGAAAAACAGTCAAATTTTAAGAGTGCAGAGGAAATTCAGACTGTGATTGTGAGCTATTTAAATATGATAGCTATGAAAAAAAGCTTAGATCAATAAAAGGTGTCCACAGACCTTTTATATATTTGCAAATAACTACTTCTTCTTATATTTTGTTTCCATTTTATTGCCTTTATTACAGATAATCATGCATCAGAAGTAATTTTTTAAAAGAGGTCAGAGAAAATTCAGATTACCATATCTTTTTTTCTGACTCATGTACATACCAATTTTTTTCCTCTGTTACACAGCTCTATAACACTACTTTAAAATGGAATTTAGAAATTAAGTTTTAATTATAGCCAATGTGATTTTATATCCTTTTTTGAAGTCAAGGTCAAGGAAAAATAGTCAATTTTTAAGAGGACAGAGGAAATTCAGACTGTGATTGTCTGCTCTCTGAATATGACACCTATAAAAAAAGCTTTACTACATTATGCTCATTCATAAGTCTTTAAGATAACTGCAAAAAATTAAATTCTAATCATAATTTATGAGATTTTTTTAATCTTTAATTAATTACAGTAGACTTTTCTTCATAGCTTTAATCTTTTTAAACAAGGGCAAGTTCAGAGGCTGTTGCCATGGAAACCAACTCATGTACATATATCAGAATTGTTGTTATTTGAACAAGGGACTTGTCCTCTATGCAACGGTACCTATTTTTTAACTTTCCAATTACTTTTATTTCAGGTTCACATATCCTTAAAACAGGTACACAGTTACCACTAATACAGATTTCATCCTCAGTACAGGTATGGTTAAGACAAACGCCTGCAAGATGCTGGTAATAAATAATCCTAAAGTTGTTATTTGCTAAATATGTAATTCGATAAAAACTTCTTCTTTTTTTAAAGTTTCAAGATCTTTTTCTTACCTTTGGAAAAAATGCCCGGTCGACATGAATGGTGGGGCCTCCGCTTAGTAGACTATTGACATTCTGTATAGCAAATCTTGTGTTTAGTTGACATTTCTTTTCCTCTCGAATCCAATCCACTGACCGGCATAAAGTAAACTTGTTACAAACCATCATGCACATCCAGATGTCAGCATTGGTCAAAAGGTTAAATCCAGGCACTGAGGATTTTTCGTAATTGCTAATGATTAAAGTTTTCGGGTCGAAGCACTGAGCGTAGCATGTCTGTAACAGAGCTAGGACTTGTCCAGTTAGGTACAGTCTAATTGCCTCAGGTCCTTTTGCTGAACCCATTGCAACCCTTTTTTTAACAATATATTTTCCAAATTCGTTTGTCTTCTGGTTCTAATAGAATCTTCAAAATATTTGTTTTCTAAATGCCTATGAATTATATATCTATCGATAAGGTCTGTCTGTTTATGATTAATGAGTTTTCAAGGGATGTTTTCATTGATTTTGCAATGATAACGGTTCAGTAATTTTTTTTATAGGAATGATTTTGGCCTGCTTTTCAACGTTGATCTCAACGTTCACGGTAGTTCAGTCGCTCGCTCCGTGATCGGGAGGTCGTGAGTTTGAATATCGGCCACGACTGACCTAAGTCGATAAACAAAATGGGCAGCAACTGTTCCTTCGCCATGCGCTCGGCACTTTGAAGTGAAAGTTACGGGTCCTTCGGATGAGACCTTAGAAACCGAGGTCCCGTGTCAGGTCACGCGATAAAGATCCCTCACTGCTCAATGGCACTGAGTGCCGAGTAAAGGTCAAAATTTGAAGTCCTTCACCGGTATAGTAATGACTCTATATGAGTGAAAAATTCTCGAATGGGACATAGAACAACATACAATCAATCAACCAATCAACGTTGATCTCATATGCAAAATAATTATGATTATCTCAGGACCTATAAAGAAAAAAAAACATGGAGAAGAGACGTTTACTTGTATCTTGACCTTGACATCAAAAGATGTTAAATATAAAATACATGGTTACTGTCTTGAAATATAAGCGATATTTGGGCGAGGGTAAGAAAACGTGATAGAGGGCGAGGCTTGCCGAGCCCTCTATCGCGTTTTCGACCCGAGCAAAATATCGCTTATATTTCAAGACATTATTTATGTATTTTGTTTATCCTGCAATATATTTTTACATCAGCTATTTTCAACCGATTTAGGTACATCTCTGCAGTTGAAACTAAGACGCCATGGCGTAAAAATTGCAATATACCTGACGTCACAATGCTCTTAGAACGTCGGAAAACATACACGAGGCTTTATAAGGGCATTGACCGAATGAAGCTTTGGATTTTTAGGTTACTTTTATTAGGTCAATGCAAGAGGTAGTTGCAGAATAAAAAAAATATTTGAACAAAAAAGCAAATTAGGGATATTATTGATCTTTTCAATATTCAATAATTTGGTGCTGGGGAGAGAGAGAGAGAAGCAGAAACAAGGCGGTTATTTGATGTGAATAATAATAAGGATATATGTGAGAAACTCTATGCTATTAAAATAATACGTTGGCTATTTGGAGTATTTTTGCAAGATGTTACAGTTGTTTTATTTAGACATTACTTTAGTTTCTCCATGATTGGCTTGCATTGATTGTCAACCATGTTTGTATGAAAAGTGTGTTTTGCGTTATTCTATTGTATGACCATGTAATAACACCATAATTCCAATTCAGACGATCTTATATGACCTAATTGTTGACAAATGACTGACATTTTTATCGTATTAATATCCATGCTTTTCATATGTAATCGCTGTTAAAAGGTGCAACTTTGCCGGCAATTTTAAAAACCTTACAGTAGAAGATGTGGTTATTTATGGAATTATTATTTGATAAATCTTACCAATATGAATTACCTTGATTCCAGATCAGCCTTCAATTTACCTATTTCATATTAAATGTGTTTTATATTTTTATTCTTATCCTTCATTAGCGTATTTTGACAGCAATGTCCATTGAAACTATTATTAGGTTTTGGAGTAACAAGAAACCATTTTTATACATTTGCTTATTTTCTTTCTGATGTAAGAAATATGCAATCAACGTACTTATTCCCTCCACTGCTATACATATGGACTATTAAAATTTAAAATTCTGAGAAGCCTGGCATCAATTTTCTACAACCTCTTTCGGGAAACATATGAATAACCTGATTTTTATTTAATTTAAATTATACAAAAGTGAATGTTCAGCAGGCACGGCCTATTTAAGCCCTCTTCTTACACATGATTTAATTCAATTGTGAAAGATTTTTGATCCGTTTTTTAAAAAGATTGGGGTTCAAAATTAAAAAAAAAAAAAGTCAAAGCGTCTGATATTCAAACTTCAATGAGATTTTATCACATTCTTCAAAAAAATCTTCATCCTTTCCATATCATTCCATTCTACACAAAGCATTAAATAATAATATATCCTTTAAATCTATCCTTTATAAATTCAGATTGATCATTAATTGATTAACAAAGTTTTCTTTCGCCGTCTTTCGTCTTTTCTGATTCACGTTTTGGCTGTTTAATTTCCTGCACTTTGAATAAAGGTTATGATACTCAATTGTCGTAAACCATATCTATATTTCTTCTTCTGTTATTAAAGTACAATATTTCCCCCAGATAGTTGCGAGGAACTGAATTTTTATCTTCTTTCAATTATTTTAGTAAATAAAAAGAACTACAGAGTTTGTGGTTGGTCTTTAAAAGCTAATTATTTCCTCTACTTAGTCTATATACAATTTATCATTAAGTCAAATACTAATTGTTAGGCCATTATTTACACACTGAATTGTCGACGGATTTTTCCGTTATTTCCCGATCATGACAAAGAGTACACGGTGAGTGTGACCGTTCGACAGGGGATGCTCACTCCTGCATTGCACCTGATCCCACCTCTGATGTTTTAGAGGTCCGTGTTTGCTCTGCTCTAAAATTTGTATTGTTTAATGGACTTTTGAGCTTGAATACTGTTTGTTATCTCCATACGTTTCTACTTGATTATTCCAACAATCTATTGGAATTCCCATGGGTACCAATTGCGCCCCGTTATTAGCAGACCTTTTTTTGTATTCATATGAAGCAGAATTTGTCCAAAATCTTGTACGTGAAAAGAAGAAAACGCTTGCTGTGGCCTTCAACTCGGCATTTAGATATATCGACGACGTATTGTCAATTAACAATGGCTATTTCCATTCTTATGTCGATACGATATATCCTTGTGAACCTGAGATTAAAGTCTGACACATCTGTTTCATATTTGGATATTTTACTTGAAAAAGACGGTAATGGTAATCTAACAACCAAGCTTTATGATAAACGTGATGACTTTAACTTTTCAATCGTCAACTCCCCTTACTTATGCAGCAATATACCTTCATCACCTGCATACGGGGTATAT